CCTCTCCACCGTTTGCTCAGGATGGGAGACTGTGATGAAGTGATTCAACACAATCTGCTGGTTTTCTTTTTGTGTTCAGTGCCCTGAGACAACGTATGTTGTGACTTGGAGCTGTATAAATAAACTGAACTTGAACTTGATTGGCCATCCCAGGCGCCACCCCCAAATGATTGACAATTGGGGGGCGGGGATCGCATGTAACAATAAAAACTTTTCTGAACCAATGAATWTAAATATTATACCACTTAACTATAGCAACAATCACACCAAACTTCAGCTCATTAGGTGTAAACAATAGCTGAATCAGCCATTTGGATTTAGCTTTGGTGACCATTTTGGTTTCTTGTATTTGAATTTAAAATCTCAGCTACCACCACACTAAATTTCAGATTAAAGTACCTGTGACATGTACTTCTAATACAAGAAGTCAAAGAAAACAACTTTATATTTAAGAAACTCGGCATAAAACATGATTTAATCCTTTTTGTCACATAACTGGTGTATTTTCTTTTAAACTTGGCTCAACTAAAGGGAAACAGGAAGTGACATGAAAGGGGAACTCTTTCCAAAAAGGAGCTCCCTGCTCTTTTTGAACTCCAACTCTTCATCTCTCTGACAGAGACTCAAACGAATCTAAGAAAACATCAGATTCTTCTCTGCAGTCTGGGTTGTCAACCATCGCATCWACGCTCTGTTTACATGCAGACATTCCCCTATGACATCACTTCCTGTTACTTCACAAGCGAATATCTCAACAACTGTTCATCCCAGTATCGTAAAACGTCTTTTGGAATATGTTATTAATGTTATCTTTTTAAAAAATGCATTCATAATTAGCATAATTAGGCTGAGGTAGAATCATTTGAAACTAGCTTTGGCGGCCATCTTAAATGATTATTCTGGGTACTACTCTATAAAGTTCCAGTGTTTAATTCCTGGATTATATCCCCTTGTGAAATTAGCATAATTGGGACTCACAATCATTCTCGGCTACAACCAATTTCAGCTCAATTAGTCTTAAATGTCTGAATTAATGCCACTTAAAATTGGCTGTAGAGGCCGTTTTCTTTTTTTTAATCACTTCAGTAGAAAAAAGAACTTCATCAGTGATTTTTTTTTGTAGAGGCCCTTTATTATATTTATATGGGCCCCCTAAACAAAACCTTGGCCACCCTTGTGCCACCCCTTGCAAACAAAAAGTCCAGCTCCGCCCCTGTTAGCCTAGCCTGAATGAAAACTTTCTCCACACTGTCCTCTCTATAACTGTTACAGCTGATAAAGCTGTGTCTTTGGCAGAACATTACTTAAACAATGACCTGATGTCCTCATATCATGAGTCTACTCCTGGAACTCTTCATCACATCTTCATCATCAGAAGTAAAAAACCTTAAAAATAATTCTTCCTGAAAGGTGTTTCAGCCTGAAACTCACAGCATTTCACCCATCATTTCCAAGATCTCATGTTTTCTTCTGTTTTTTCTCCGTGTGTCCATCAGAAAGTGTCAAAGACAGCAGCAGTGGACCGTCTGACCGACACGGCCCGGTACACCGGCTCTCACAAAGAGCGCTTCGACGAGAGCGGCAGGGGCAAAGGTCGTGAGGGGCGGGAGGAACTTGTGGAGAACACGGGCTACGTGGGCGCGTACAAGAACGCCGGGACGTACGACGCCAAGGCAAAGACTGACAAGTGATGAAGCAGCAGCTGCAGCTCCTCTACGGTGCATCGTCTGGACCAAACCATGAACTTTGACCCTCGTGTGTGTGTGTGTGTGTGTGTGTGTGTGTGTGTGTGTGTGTGTGTGTGTGTGTGTGTGTGTGTGTGTGT